CCCTGCTTCTCTCTCTGTCTCTCTCTCTCTCTCTCTCTGTCTCTGTCTCTCTCTCTCTCTCTGTGTGTGTGTGTGTGTGTGTGTGTGTGTGTGTGTGTGTGTGTGTGTGTGTGTGTGTGTGTGTAAAAGAGAGTAGACTCATGGTGTTCTCTGACAAGCTGAAAAGCTTTTTGGGTGGGGCTCCTCCCTTTGCTGCATCTCTGCAGGAAGCAGGAAGGGCAGGAGAGAGATAGCTAGCCTAGCTATGCTGACTCAGGAATTCTGGGAGTTGAAGTCGATGAGCCATAAAAGAGTCGAGGTTGCCTACCTCTGAGCTTGTTGGAGAATAGCTTGAAGCCAGCTAAGCAGAAGATCGGAGCTAAGCAGAAGATCGGAGAGAGGGAGCTAAGCAGCTAAGCAGAAGATTGGAGAGCTAAGCAGAAGATCGGAGAGAGGGAGAGAGGGGGAAGAGAGAAAGCTAAGCAGAAGATCGGAGAGAGGGAGAGAGGGGGAAGAAAGAGAGAGAAAGAGAGAGGGAGAGAGAGAGAGGGAGGGAGGGAGGGAGAGAAAGAAAAAGAGTGGGGGAAGAGGACTGGCAGACCAAGGACAGAAAGAGAGAGAGGGAGAGAGAGAGAGAGAGGGAGGAGGGAGAAAAAGACAGAGAGAGAGACCCTTTTGACATCTAAAATGAAGATAACGCTGTATATATCCTTTTTTACCCTTATGAGATATATATATGCATGCATGCATGCATATATTTATTAAAGGTAAAAAAGGATATATGCGGCTCCCAGTGTTTTGTTTTCGGTGGGAAACGGGTCCAAATGGCTCTTTGAGTGTTTTGGGTTGCCTACCCCTGAATTAAGGCATAAGTGACTGTGAGCAGAACCTCCTGGTCCAGCAGCAGGTATAATTGGTGCACCAGCTGAAACTGTGCAAAGGCTCTGCTGGCAGGAGCGATGATTCCAAGAGGCTTATGGCAAAATTTAAGATGCTGATTATCACCTATTAAGCCTGGTTACTTGAGGGACAATCTATCTCCAACAGCTACTGCGTGTTCACTAAAATTTTACAAAGTAGGTGCACTTCAGATCCCTTTGATCAAAACTGTCCTCTATTTGGGCTTCAGAAACATACCTTCTCTGTTGTAATCCCTGCCCTTTGGAACAGCATGTCCCCCTCCTCCCCCCCACCCCGTCGAGAACCACATGGCTTCCACTCTGATGATATTCAGAGTGATATTTTGGCTATTTTCCTAGGCCTTTCGATAAGAAGGCTGTTAACATCAAACAACTTCTTTCTTGTTATGTGTAGTATATGGTTTCTGTTCTTTTTTTTTAACTTTTTAAAATGCAGATCATTCTGACTTGGATGGACTTTAAACACGTAAGTAAATAAATCATTCACCTTAAATTCCTCTTGCTATCATATAGTGACATAAACATATTATATGTCTAGACTATGAATGGAAGCTTAGTTTCCAATTTACATTAATCTTTCAAGAAAATATTCACATATAAAAATAAAAAGGCATTTTACTGCATTCTACACCCTAAGAATGTTGTACCTATAATGGTACGAATATGTATATTCAATTTGATTCCACAAAGATATATGTCAGTTACTCTTCTTTCTTATCACCAAAAATAATAGATTAAGATTACTGAAAGGTTTACAAGATCATTAATGGTATGAACTGTGTAAAGCAGAACATTAGGTGAATAAACCCTAGAATGTTTGAGGGATTAGGCCACTCAATAGGAATAGAATGATTCAGAACATTGAAATACGTTTTCTTCAAATACAAAAAAATCAAATTGAATTTCATGACTACATGTGGTAATGCGTTTTTACCTTTCACGGCTATTTAAAGAAAAAAGAAACCAAAACATGAGCAATATCCATGACAGAACTGACAAAGTAATGAAGCCTCTATGACTATAAGCAATATCACTCTTGAGTACCGGGAAGCTAACAGGATATCATTATTGCATCATACCCTTCCTGTAAACACTTGACAGCTTACATCTGACTACTACTGAGAATACTAAAATTGTTCCAGAAAGGCAGTGTTTATTATGGTTATCAAAATGCTTAACATTCACTATATCTTGTAAAACTGGCTGTTTCCACATATACGTCTATACCAAACCTAGAATTTACTTCCAAATTTAAAAGCAAAATCAATAATTTGAAAACAAATGTATGCCTGATATATTAAGAAAGAGTAGGAAACTCTTAAAGTGTTGAGGTTAAGATTCAAGACCACTTTCAGCCAAGGAAACTCATTGGAAGTTTTTGGCTAGTCTACACATCTCAAAAGAGTGTTATTGTGGGGATAAAATTGAGAAATGCAAGTTTTATACTACTATTGAGTTTCTAAAGAAAAGATGAGTATACAACTAATAATTAGGTAAAATCTAAAAAACCTTCAATGCTTTACTGTTATTTTCTAGGGAAAACACCCACAGAAAAGCCAGTATGCGAATGTTTGTTCTGCCTAATTAAATTATCTGAAGTGAAAGCCAGATAATTCAGAAAATCAGGATAGAGGAATTTTGGAGAGTTGACATATTTCCCCAAAACTAGTGTATTTTCTCTACACATTGGTTAAAATATATTCAAAACTCCCAAACAGAGCAATTTCTGTTGCAAGAATGCACATTAAGACCTATCAATATAAGTTCTGGGGATCAATCTTTAATGAAGTCTGGATTCTTTCTAAGATATTGGACATTTATGCTGATATTGAGCACAGGTGGCCACATAATTTTGACATTTCATCATATAACTACCTCCACATTCTCCATACATAATTTTAAAGAGAGCTAACAATCCCAAATACTGTTCACTTATAAAATATGTGGGCTTCATAACATTTACACAAAATTTTATACAGAAGAGGCAACCACAAGATTAGGTCTTGACAAATAACACACTGCATCTCTTAAGTGGGATCCTTTTGTGCCATTTAGCTACAAGAAAACTCGCCAGTATTTACATTTTACTTTGATACAGGATTCAAATATCACAAAGAAAAAACAATAATTTGAATAGCTAAGCTGTTCTTAATGTAGTTTTGTTTCATTTTATTTTAGTTTTAATTGTTAAAAAGAAGCCCATTTGTCATGTTTTTAAACTTCTCTGTAGACAAAGTATTTGTCACTGACGAACAGGACATTATTACTTTTCCTTTCATTGTCTCTTTCCAATCTTATAGTGGATGAAAAAGTATTTTAGTTAATAAATATTCCTCTGTATAAGCAGTCTTACAATAATACTTGATCATAAAGGTTAGCAACAAATCCAGTTCATTCCCTACTTTCTTTCAGTGATGCTTACCTAGCAACTGGAAGGCAATCACGCTATTGTCTAAACTGCCAAGTTAAGGGAAGGCTGCCCTGAAGAGGAAGGGCTTCATAGCTTGGCTTGGTCAGAAAGATCAACATTTCAATAACCAATAACCAAGAGTGACTATTTCCATTCACTTGCCTTTTTTCTGCTTCCAGGGGATAATCAAATTAAATTCGGCATTGGCTATGAGAGGACAGAAAACTGGAGATCATGTTAGTCATATTAGCATGACTTCTTTCTTTCCCTCATTGTTTTTTTAAAATGCATACAGGATCTGGGTTTGCTAAGACAAGAGCAAGGCACAGAGGACACCAGGCCCAAAGCACCTCATTCATATGATAACTTTTACAACTTTTATTCAGCCAGCAGAGACAGTAGCAGCAGCTCTTTCAAACCCCATTGCTATCCCATTCTCCACTTAGATAAGCAAGTAGCAGAGGCAGCTGTAAAGATTAATATTTGTCTCAGTCCATTTGTCCTTTTTCTTTGCAGCATGGCAGGTAGGTGGGTGAAACATTAATATGACCTCCTTTTTCCCACTTAAAAAGAATCCAGCAAGAAAATCAGGAATTATTTGATGCGTGCTCTGAAAGATATGAACTGATTGACGAATGCTTATATGGAACAATGTAAAGCCCTAAAAAGCATATGGTCTGTATATAAGCAGGGGTTCCCAACCCCCGGTCCATGGACCGGTACTGGGCCGCAGCAAGCCAGCAACTGGTCAGTACAAACAAGCAAAGCCCCATCCGTGGAATGCAGTCTGGTCCGTGGAAAACCTTTCTCCACAGAACCGGTCCCTGGTGCCTGAAAGGTTGGGGATCTCTGATCTATAGCCTAGCTATGGCCTATGAACTGCCTCTTCTAGTATGAACCTGTATGGTAACTCAGGTCAGTTGGAAAGGTCCTTCCGAAGATGTCCCGAAAGGCATGGGGGTAGCTTAGCTATCTAGTCCAGCAGAGAGTTTTTCTCCATTGTGGTTCCCAGACTCTGGATTGCCTTCATCAAGGTGTGTCTTTGGCCCCTACTCTCCCAATAAGATACAGTGACAATGATAAAAGTTGGTCTCTGGTCTCTTCCATCAACCTTTAATATGACCTGAACTGTTTTTTGATGATACAAATTATAATTTCAGTTCTGATCTTAATTGTACTGTTTTTATTTTTAGATGATATAATGTGCATTTTTGGATGCTACAAGCCGCCCGGGTGTACAATAGACCACAGATAAAGGCCCAAATTTAATAAATGTTTCAAAAGCTATACATTTATTTACACGAAAATTCTGTTTCAAATGTAACACCTCCCAAGAGAAACTGAAGGGACGCCAGGGAAACAGTAACAGCTTTTAGATCCACAAATATCTACCTACCCCAAGGAGTGGAAGTCAGGTAATTAAGGCTATCAAGCATCCTTTTTTCCCGGAACTTTCTAATTGGATGGCCAAAGCTTCGGGGAAGAAATTCTTTCTTCCAGTAAAGCAACCCAACTTTGCGGATGTCTGGGACCCAATCTCCCACCGCCCCGAGGAGGCCGGCTGCGGATGCCAGGCACTGCCAGTCAACGCATCCGGGTTGAGCCGGTCTGCTTTCATCGAAGGAGCCTTTCCCGTCTCTGGAGACGGTGGCTCCCGGCACAGCCGCCCTGGCCGTTCCCTCCTTCCTCACCCTTCTTGTCCATCAGCCACATGAAGGCGAAGCAGGGCACGAAGCCGATGGGTCCCCAGAAGACCAACAGGGCGATATCCAAACTGGAGAAGTCGAAGGCCTGCCGGGCCGAGTTCTGAATAGGGCCCCACGTATTCCACACCAGGCCCTGCAGGAAGGCCAGCAGCGAGAAGAGCAGCAGCACCAGCCAGCGCCGCCCGTACACGCGACCCGGCACCGGCGGCAGGCGAGGCAGGGGCCCCGCCAGAGGCGTCCCTCTGCCCCGCAACTCTGCTGCTGCCGCCGCCCGGTAGGACTGGCCATGCTGAGCAAACGGCGGCGGCCCGGCGGGCGGCGTAGGGGGCAACAGAGGCTCCCGCTCCTCGGGGCTGCTCCAGGCTGAGCCCATCGCCGGGGCGGCGGCGGAGGCAGTCCCACCTGCCTGTGGCCGGCTGCTATGCTAGCGTTACCCAGCCGCGGTGGCGGCGGCGGCAGCGATGTAAGCAAACCCCGCCCGGGCTAGGAGGCAATCTGGCCAGCCGCATGCGCGAGGTAGGCGGGCCTCGCCAAGGCGCTTCCCCGCCGAAGCCGTGATGGGAAGAACGAGGAAGGGGCTACCCGATTGGGAAGCCCGGCTTGGGGCCCTCCAGATGATCGGAGTTAAGAGCTGTCCCTGTCCCCAACCGGGGTGGCTTAGAGACAGAGGGCAATCTCTTCCCACCCATTGGGAGACCACCAAGTCGGGGCAGAGTACTTTTAGCTTCTCCGCGGGAGAAGTGGGAGCAAGTCCCTGAGAACCGGCTAATTACAAAGAAAAAGCTGGATAGTTGCCTAATTGTAGCGAAGCGTCAGTTACCAGCGCGAGGGTTTTCACCTTGGCTGGAACTGGGGGGAAAGCCATAAGGCGACATAAGGAAGGGAAAAGAGAACTGCTCGGAGCGTTTTTATGGCCCAGGCGGACCGAAGGCAACGGAGAAAGAAAGCCGCGCCGGTTCCCAAGAAGAGCCAACTCGGTGCAGCCTCTCGGAGGCGAAGTTGAAAACAAAGCCACGTGATTCGGCTCAAATGATCCCTCACATGATCGCGGGTGGAGGAAGGGCTGGCCGGTGACGGTAAAAGGGTGAGCCGAGGAGGAGGAGGAGGAGGAGGAACTGGGAGCAGCCTCGCTCTCTCTCGGACTAGAGATGGAGAGCGAAGCGGTGGCTGCGGAGGTGGCCGCTTTGGAGCCGTTGCTTGCTGGTAGGTACGCCTGCCTGCCTTGCCGTATTAAGTCTTGTTTGTGGAACTTCGTCGAGACACGTAAAAATAAGGAGGAGTGATTAAATGATGATACAGGACCCGTTTTAACGAACCGGCTTTTCCTGTTCTATCAAGTTACAGGCTCGCTACTTCAGTCACTTCTTTCTGCTTCGTGAACGAAAAGGAGAACGACTTAGCTCAGTGTTTCTCAACCTGGACAATTTTAAGGCATGTGGACTTCAACTCCCAGAATTCCACAGCCAGCATTGCTGGCTGTGGAATTCTGGGAGTTGAAGTCCACATGCCTTAAAATTGTCAAGGTTCAGAAACACTGATTAGCTGCTTTAAGGAATTGCTGCCCATCGCAGCGTTCTCCCGCGCGCCTTTTTGTATTGAAGCGGAAGTATTCACAGCTCTAGAAAATATGCTCAGCGTTTATCCATCCATCCATCCAAGGTGCTATTTATTGCTAAAACAATCCCAAAGTGAAGACGTGACAACTTTAAACAATTGATCATAAAGCTCTAGAAAGTGCTCACGTCTTAAAACTTACAAAACGTCCTGCTAGCTGGAACAAATAAAACATGTGTTTCAATATGTAACGAACACAATGAGTATCAAGAGAACTGATTTCAGTTCTGCTCGATGTACATAATAATCATACCGTATTGCACAATGAGGATATTCACATTAGTCAGTATAAAATAGCTCCAAGTGAAGAATGGTCTATCTCTTAAATATGATTTGTTATTAGATGTTATCAAATATTTGGAGACTAAAATATTAAAAGTCCAGCTATAGATGGTTTTCATTGGACATATTCTCTATGAAATCTGGTAAACATATATGAGGCTACACTCAGATATGTAACTTGCTTGACTATGCAATTATAAGGATTCACTGACTAATTTAAACCAACCCACTTTTGTTCATCTTCACCCAGGCCTTTGGTGAGGGAGGGTGAGACTCCCCACTTTCTTCCATCTGGTCTATTGCACTTGCTATCTTTTATTGTATTTTATTTGACTATTGTGAGCCACCTATAGTCATTGGAGTCAGGCAGCATACAAGTTTAATAAATGATGATGAACATGATAGCTTGAACCAAGATAGTAATTGGTCACATGCACATTCTCCACTCAATTCATGTTTATCAATTGCATTACTCTAATTCATCCATTGCCAACCCAGTGATCATTTAAGAATAAAGAAAACTATTAGGCCTTGCTTTGGATATCAGGTGCTTCTGTATTGTTTCCCTTCACCTAAAAGGTGATGTAGCTATCAAGCTATTTTTATTTTTCAAACACAATCTTAAAAATATGAACTTTTCACTTCCACAAATTACACTTTAGGGAGAGGGGTTGTATTTTCTGTTCTTCAAAAGAGGGGTGTTGAGGTTTCACTCAAGCAGAATGGAAACTTGAATTTACTCTTTATGCAGCTACTCCATTTTTAACTCAATCATTCTTTATCTTCAAAATTGTTTGGGTGTTTTCATTTTGTGTGTCAAATATTGATGGCAATCTACTGAACTGACAATGCTGAAACAATATTTACCCAAGCTTCCATACTACTCCAGTCAGAAGACTCTGAGCAGTATACAATTCCCGAATAGGCTTTACTATTATAATGCAACCAATAATTTAAAAACATACTAACACAACCTTATCCCTATTTCTAATACTTAATCCTGGGGAATAGTGTAAACCTTCCATTAAGTCCCCTAAGACCTAGGTCCTACAAAAAAGCCAAGTCTTCACTGCTCAGAAAAACAGAATAGGAAAGAGGCCATCCTTATGTCCCTGGGGAGACTGTTCCAGAGGAGGGTGAAAAAGCTTTATCTTCAGGGTCCATGATGAAAGCATCCTTGTGGAGAAGGGATTGCTAAAATACCTTCTCTCAAGATTACACCTGAAGCAGGTCATCTCAAATATAAATGTTAAATCAACAATTAAGTTGTAGAGTTATTTTGAATGTGAAGCATGTATTTTTACTAAACCAAGAATATATAAGTAACCGTTGAGCTTTCAAATTCCTTTTAATGAATTATAGTACCTTTTCTTTATTTTCCCAGGGTGTAACGGATTTCAGGATCTGTAGAATAATTGGTTTCTCTAAGTAAGGAGTAAGCTTTAAGAAGCTCTGATCCTCTAGGATTGAAACATACATATAATTGTACATATAATTGTATATATAATTGTATTGTGTAGAAGAATGAGGTTTATATAGAGGTTAAGGATGATGTATTAATGATGTATTAAGTTTTTGTATCACGAGAAATAAATTGTTAGGAATATTTACTCTGGAATGCCACGTATGTCCATTTTTGTTTTAATTGTATTATAAATAAAAAACTTTAAAAAAAAAAAAGAAGCTCTGATCCTCGTCCAGTGAGAGGAAGGATGGTCGGATTTAGTCTGGGCTAGAATTTCATTTTTCTCTAGAAATTTCCTGATAAAGCGGTTTAGGTCCTTTGTCAAAAAATTGTGAAAAAACTGGAAATAATAGGGTATGCGTAGAAGGGAAAGCATACAATTCATTTTTAGTGCTTCTGGCTCAGTTATGTAGTTTCATTTTTTTCCTCTTTTTTATTTGTTCATTATCTGTTTGCTAATTAATGACTGCTAGATCTTCTCTGCAGATTTAGTCTGCCAATAATTTGGTTCGGCTATTTTACTTCACAAATAGCCATTAATTAAGCATTTATGAGGGGGCAGTCTTAGATTTATTGTTACTTCACTGCTGGATTTGTATTAGCATTATACACCTCAAACAATTTCAGCCTGATCAACCTGATTAAAAGAGGAAACTGGAGACAATTATTTAAAGATCTGGTCTTGAGAGAGAAGAATTTCAACATATCTACAAAGCAGCATGGTGGGGAAAGTTGTGCTAAAGAGTGTCATTGACAATCATGAGACTTGCTCTTAAGGCACTCTGGCTGAGGAATTCTGGGAGTTGAAGTCTACAAGGGCCAAGTTTGAAGACCCCTGGACTAGTGTTTTAACTTAAGCATTATTTTCTTCAGGAGAGTCCTTCAAAGGGGGAAAACATAGAAAACTTGTTTCTTCATCTCTTAAAGATCTTTGTCCCTGATGGGCATAATCATCATAGAAGGCAACAGAATGCAGTACAACAGTCACTAGAATTCTTTGAATCAAAGCTTGCATACCCTGGTCATCATTTAAATGCATTTCTCAGTTCTAGTATAACTAATCTGAGGTACAGTCTGCATTGCTGATCGAATGATTTCCCCAACCAGGAAAGGTTAGCAGAGAAGTTAGTACAGTAACAAAACAATTATCAAAAGTTGCTTTGTAACTTCTTGATTCCAGAAAGATTTCCCAATGTGGAAATGATGATTAGAGAAAAAGCAGACAAGAAGTTACAGCAAATAAATCAGAATGGAAAATAGAATTTTCTGCACTTTACACACTTTTTCAGAGCTTTTTTTCCTTTCCTGATCTATAACCTAAAAGTACTGACCAGTTTTCAAGAATTTTGTCATGAAATGTTGTTGCAATTTAGAATTTACTCTACCAATATCAACAAGAACCTGTGAAAAACAAGGACCTTCAAATATAGAACTGAGAACCATAAAATAGGTGGTTTGTATGAAACTAGAAGAGACCAGAAGCCGTATGTCGTAGTACCAAATTAAGGTCGTCCACTCGCGCACGTGGCGAACGAACGGTGAGCGGCCGGTGAGCGTGTCTTGATAGGGGAGATGGAGTCCCCCCACCGGTCCACAAAGCTGGAAAGGTTGGAGAACTCTGGTGTAGGGGTTAAAACATCAAGCTAGAAACCTGGAGTCTCAGTTCTGAAAAACCTTTGTCAAGAAAACTGCAGAGACCAGGCAGTCGCTGAGAATCAGACATGATTGAAAGGAAGAAGAGGAACGCATGATGTTGCTCAGCCTACTCAAATGTGTTGCTATAGGGAAAAATAGGGAATGAAAGGGATTTTCTGAATGAAAGCAAGAAATAAATGGAAGGAAGGACACTGATAAATTCCATGCATCTTTCATGCCTATAAATAGGAATGCAAAAATGTTAAGAATATAAATAAGACAAATAACTAGTTTAAATGTCTTACAATAGAACTTATATTTCAGCATAGATATTTAATGTTATTTGTATTTACCTGTAATTAAAATCATAACTGAAATAATAAGGTGTAATTAGAACATTTTAAATTGCTTTGCTTTGTAGTGCCATGGCCTGTATTTGGATATTACTGCACTGGTCTGACCTTTCCTCCCCAATTAATTTAACAGAGTGTAGTACTCAATAGGCTTTCTCTAGGCTATAATGTCATCAAAATTAGTTAAAGGGAAAGAATGGCACTGTTGATAAATTGATACAAGCCAAATTAATTTCTTCTTGCAGCCAGTTGATAGCTTTATTTCACTCTCAGAACAAATGCATTTGTAAACATGATAATTTCATTTGTTCTTAGTGGTGGCATTGTTACCCTTTCAATTTTTCACTCCATTGTGTTCATGGAAGTAGATTTATTTCTTTAGCCTTCCTATAAATAAGGTAAAATATGATACAGCTGCAGAAGCATGTTAACATAATAACATTGGCTGATTATATACTGATTGTGGTATTTAAGCTGTGGAATATTGAAGGATTCTAGTCTATATAAAATCTATATGGAGTGCAGGAGTGGATGGAGAGGGCTTAGAGTACAATGATGTTATGCTCACAATAACCAGATTTTCAGAATTGAGAGAAGCTGTGCAGGATCATGGGAAATAACTAGATGCAATGGTGGATTAGGTGATGCTGAAACTATGAATAAGACTTCCTCTTTCTTAGGAATTAGGGACATTGTCTATTATGGACCATAGATGTCATTTGGAGATCTTTCTGGATCCATTGCTTTCAGTGGAAGCCCAGGTGTTTTCAATGAGGAATTTTGTCCTTTCTGGCTGGCTCAGGTATAAGGGTACACATATTGAGCCACAGAAACGAAAACCTCAAGTTGGGAGT